AAGCTTCTTGGATGAGAAGTGAAACATCTTCAAGCAAAACGAAGTCTGAAAGAAAGCACAAACATGACCTGGATGACTGAGAAACTCCATAGACAATAAACCAGGGCTTTTCAATCTTTTCACCCATTGTACCACTTTTAGGATATGGCAACATCCGAGTACCACCAGTCGCCTAGCAAGGTGTCAAAAACTTGATGACCAAAAAAAAGGAAAAAAGTGATAAAGTACAGGTAGTCCTCGACTTACAACAGTTCGCTTAGTGGCTGTTCGAAGTTACAATGGCACTGAAAAAAGTGCCCCCCAAGCCACAGCCAAGCAAGACACCTGCCTGCCCACCCAGCGGCGCTCTTCCTCCTGTCTGAGGTTTTCATTGTTGTGAGCATTTCTGTTGAGGATTGGCAGCAGGGGTGGGGTGAGGGGGTGTTTGGTTTTTATTCCCCCCCGTCTGCTGAATGGTTGCAGCAGCTTTTGGTCACTTCACATGACCCTGGGACACTGTGACCGTCATAAATATGAATCAGTTGCCAAGCATCTGAATGTAAATCACAAGACCCTGGAGATGCTGCAACATTCCAGCTGATTGGTGCTTCTTCAGGGCTCAGCAGAAGCACCAGGATCAGCACCGAGCTCCAGCTGGAGCCTGGCCCTGATCCTGGCGCTTCCACTGAGCCCTGACAGCCCCGAAGAAGCGCCAATCAGCTGGACAGTGGCACTGATCCTGGTGCTTCCGCTGAGCCCTGACAGCCCTGCAGCTCCAGCTGTGTCTCGCTCAGGCTTGTGCGCTGCTGCCACCGGTTCAGCTCATTCCCCTCCCCCGCTACTTTTCTAGTATGGTCGCGTACCACCTGCCAGGTGCCAATGTACCACAGGTGGCACCCGTACCACTGGTTGAAAAGCCCTGCAATAAACCACTTGAATCCCACCATCTTTGTTCCCTGGGTTTGTGACCATCCAAATAGCTGGTCTTCACAGTGATGTTTTCCGTAACGAAGTAATGGGTGAAGTTTGGGAATTAATGCTGAATTTGGCGTCCAGGGTTTTATTCTGCTAATGATCAACAAGATGTGTATAGGAGTCCACTGCAGCACCAGAGTGCAGGGGCCTAACTCTGCTTGTACTTCCAGGCCACTGGTGTTTAAAGTTGTAGATGCTAAAGGCAATAACGATTTACTGATAACAATCAAATTTTAATTTAATGGCACGTTTGGGTCACAATACTGTCATCTTCCATTAAATTAAAAAGCCCATTGCATCTAAATGTGGGTACTTTGCCTAATTAGGTACCAGAGGTTTTTTTTATCTCATTTGTGTAATTATGCAAATGAAGTCAATTTGTTAGAGTGCTTCTAACAAATTGATTTGGAGAATCCACTTTTTACCTCCCCAAATTACCTGGGAATTAGAAGGAATCGGCTGTTGAGAGGAATATAGCAAATGGTAGCGGTTTCAAATAGCTGCAGACGTCACTGTTGAAAAGCCCAAGGGCCATTGAGGCTGCCTGCTCAATTATAGCTAGGGATGTGCAAAATGAAGCATTTGGGAATGCCTCCCAAATACTAGCCAGGAAATCAACTTAAGTTTGTTGTTGTTAATTGTGAAGTCGTGTCCGACCCATCGCGACCCCATGGACATCGTTCCTCCAGGCCTTCCTGTCCTCCCATCTTCTGGAGTCCATTGAAGCTCATGCCTCCTGCTTCAGTGACTCCATCCAGCCACCTCATTCTCTGTCGTCCCCTTCTTCTATTGCCCTCCATCTTTCCCAGCATCAGGCTCTTCTCCAGTGAGTCCTTCCTTCTCATTAGGTGGCCAAAGTACTTGAGTTTCAACTTCAGGATCTGGCCTTCTAAAGAGCAGTCAGGGTTGATCTCCTCTAGGACTGACCAGTTTGAACGCCTTGCAGTCCAAGGGACAACTTAATTTTGGATAACTCCTAATATGCATGTTCCTTAACATCCCAGACTAAAATTTTTTGCAGGATGTGACTGGGTATGGTTTCTTCGGCTAGTTGCGACAATTATATGGCTAATTTGTAATAAACAGTGCCACTCAAATCCTTTTTTTTTTCTTTTGCTTGCTTGCTTGTCATGGATCACGGGCTGAGCATTCCCATGGCCGGCTCACCTCAAGAGCCAGACCACGTAGAACGAGTTTCAAAAACAAATCGAACAGCCATGCCCCCCTTATTTCAACTTCCTAATGTAATTCAACAGTCCTTGTATTTTGGGGGCATCTTTCATCCAAGGGCCAACCGAGTTCTGGCTTGCTTTTATCAAGATCACAGGGACTGTCTTATTTATATAGCTCTTCAACAGATTTTTACATCTGTTTTCAAAGAGAACACATTTACTGTTGCTTTAATTTTAGGTTTTAGTTATCTGCAGTACCAGCACGAAGGGAAGGTCATTTATATGTGTTCATTGGTACAACAAATAAGGATATGTTTAACTAGCCTTAATTCTACACTTTACCATATTCATGTCCATTCCTCAATTTTCCTCCCTGCAGATAAACTTTTTGGAGAAGCTGCTCTGATGAAGTAGAGAATGGCTAGCACTAGAGGGCAGATTCATTCCATCTTTTAAACAAGGTATCCCCCCTGCATTCATAAAAAAAGCATATAGAGATTAAGCAATACAATATGCAAAGAAAGACTCTGGAAAAGAATGAATTCCAGTATTTGGGTGAGGGGGACAGAAAGAGAAATAAAAGGAAATAGAAGACACTTCTGCCAGAATATATTGCCTAGCCGTAGTTAAGCCAACTTTCTGAGTCACTTGCTGGTAATTAACATTGATCATTTATGC